GACTCCTGGCAGTTTCAGTGCCAGATGCTCTTTAAGAAGCTCCTGGGTTTTCCACCTTTCATCTTCTGGGGCCGCAGTCTGTTCTTGGCCAACTCCTGGGGGCTGCTGCCCTTTGCTGTGCCCATAACCACCGTGGGTGAGTGCCACCCGTGGGGGGGCTGCCAGCCGCTCTGTGGACAGCGGGGGCCCCTCGCTCACCTGTGTCTCCCTCTGTCTGCAGTGGGCCGCCCCATCCCTGTGCCCCGGCGCCTCCACCCCACCACGGACGAAGTTGACCACTATCACGCCGTCTACATGAAGGCTCTGGAGCAGCTGTTTGAGGAGCACAAGGAAAGCTGTGGCGTCCCTGCTTCTACCCACCTCACTTTCCTCTAGGCCTGGCCTCAGCTGCTCGCTGAGCCCCCAAGCCCCTGACCCAGGGTGCTGGGACCTCCTCCTACTGCCACACTCCATGCCTCCAATCAAAGCAATATGGGGAAGCGAGCCTGTCAGGGCCTGATCCACGCCCATCCTGATGTGCCACAGAGCCTCTGCCTTAGATTGGACAGAGTCAACTCTGCATGTGGCATGATCTTGGACAAGCCCCTCCCCTTTGCCTCTTCTCTGGATGTAAATAAAGGCATCTGCTTAGCTAAGAGCTGTCGGGCATCAGGACAGGGTTGGGAGGGAGGATTGGTGGCAGGGCAGGATGTGAAGAGCAAGCATGGTTCAGGTGTAAAAGAAGTTAGTCTATGGCCTTACCAACCGGAACCCACCTGATCTCGGAAGCTAAACATGGTCAGCCTGGTTAGTACTAGGATGAGAAAAGTTGGAGTAGATGATGGATCAGTGAGGAAAAGCTGGGCTCGATCAAGGGCCCATAACAGGAGGCAGAGTGAACAGATCCTCAGCGGAGAAAAGATAGAGTTAATGGGACAGCTTGCTCTGCACGCCCTCCCCATCCTCTATGTGTTCCTAGGGCCAAAAAATCCAATCAACAAGGACTTATTTACCAGGATTAAGACGAACTTCAAGTCTGGGCATGGTTGCTCATGCCTATAATCCTACCACTCTTGGAGCCGAGGCAGGAGGATCTTTTGAGCACAGGAGATTGAGACCAGCCTGAGCAAGAGGGAGACTTATTTCTACTATGAAAATAGATAGAAATTAGCTGGACACCTAAAAATATATATATAAATATTAGCCAGGCAAGGTGGCACATGGCTAATAGTCTCAGTTACTCTGGAGGCTGAGGCAGTTGGATTGTTTGAGCCTAGGAGTTTGAGGTTGCTGTGAGCTAAGCTGACGCCACAGCACTCTTGCCCAGTCGATAGCGTGAGATTCTGTCTTAAAAAAAAAAAAAAAAAAAAAGACATACTTCAAGCCTGGCATTCCACTCAGCACAGTGGACTTTTGTCAAGATTAAATGAATTAAAATTTAAAGGTTAGAGGCTGGGCACGTTGGCTCACACCTGTAATCCTTGCACTCTGGGAGGCTGAGGCTGAAGGATTGCTTGAGGCCAGGAGTTTGAGACCAGCCTAAGCAAGAGTGAAACCCCTTGTCTACTATAAATAGAAATATTAGCTAGATGTGCTAGTGTGCACCTGTAGTCCCAGACACTGGGAAGGCTGAGACAGGAGGATCACTAGAGCCCAGGAGTTTGAGGTTTCAGTGAGCTATGATGATGCCACTGCATCTAGCCCGGGTGACAGAGCAAGACGCTGTCTCAAAAAAAAAAAAAAGGAAAGAAAGAAAAAATATATATTCAGTGGAAGAACTTTCCCTTGTTGTTGGATGAAAACTGGGCAGTCCCATTGTTTACCTCAGGTAATAAGTTCTACATTAACTTGGTGCATAGCATTTTAGTTCCTGTGGTAATAAACACTGCAGTCTTTATCCAAGGGTAGGAATTTTCTCTTCGCTGGCAAGGCCAGGCTACCTACTTGGCCTAACAGTGGCAGTTGGGGAAGGTAGAGTGTGCAAAGGTAAGACTGACCTCTTCCCTACTCCTCCCGTAATGGCTGCTATTACCAGCCCTGACTTAGAGTGTAGGGCAGAGAAAGGGAAAGAATGCCAGAAACGTCTAGCTGGACAAGGCTGTCACAGGAACGTGGTGTTCTCTAGGCCTTCAGATTGCCAGAGCTGATCTCTCTTCTTCCTGGGGACATTCACAGATCCCTCACAGGTTTCCCTGTTAGGCCCTTTTGGCAGCTCCTGAGCTTTCTCTGCCTCATCCTCTGGCCTTGGGCTTCTGCCCATGCTCTCCACACGGGTCTGCTCCACAGGAATCCCATTATTCTAGGGTGTGAGGGCTGGAAAACCCAGCTCCAGCCATGAGCATCGTGGCCTGGGTGCTCTTGGAGTTTAGGTCCCACTGTGCACTTGTCCTTCCTTCTCTCCTGCCGTGGGGACATCCAGCCAGCCACAATCGGCTGCTAGATTTCCCTGGTGGGCACCTTCCCCAAACACTGGGGATGTACCAAACTCTTGTCACTGATCCTGTTGTGGGAAGTCTGGCCCTTTGCGGGTGGGCCTCACAGGACTCTGAAAGCCTTTCCCCACACCCTCTTTCCTCCTTCTCCAAACTCTGTTCCTTGTGGTGGGTGAGGGGCTAAAGAGTCACTTCTCAAACATTTGCCCTTAATGCGTTGCATGTGATCTGCTCTGGCTCCCTTTGAGACGCAAGGCCTATTTAATGCACCTCCGTACCTCAGCTTGGTGCAAACTTCAGTGTTGGCATCTCCAGTGTTTTACTCTGGGTTCCTTCCCCAAGGGGCACGGGCACCAACTTCAAGTGAGAACTGGACACCTGGGCTGGAGGCTGTGGGGATTAGATCCTGGGGATCTTCCTCCAGCGCCCTGTCCCCCCTCTTCTCCCTGAGTACTGGGGCCTTGGCATGGGATTAGGGGAGGCTGGAAGGGATTTCATCCCTCATAAGGCCTCTGTGTAAATCCCAAGTGATGGGTGAGGAGTGTGGAGAGGGCTTGGCCTGAGGTGGGAGAGGGCACTAGAAGCCAGGGTGTTCCCTGGAGGAACCGGGCTTGGCCAAGGAAGCAGAGAAAAGTTCATAATAGGTCAAACTGCTAAGGTCCCTGCGAAGCCAGGTTGGTAAGTTTATGAGGAAAGGGCCAGGTATGGTCAGAGTTGAGAGAGGAAGAAAGGGAAGGAGGAGTCATCCTTGAGGTAAAAGACCACTGGGGTGTGGGGAGAGGCCAGGGCAGGAAGCAGAAAGGTGAAGATCAGCCTCCGTCCCCAGCGGAGACTTGGTGTCCCAGTGTGGAAAGAGGGAATGTGATATGGCCAGGAAAACGAGCTCTGTGACTGCTGAGGGTTGGAAAGACGGGGCTGGGCAGAGGGGTTTGGAAATGACACCCTTGGGGGATCACAGGTGTGGCTCCCCCAGGCCACCTCCGACCAGGGTCTACTTCAGTCCATGATCACTGCTTCCCTATGGGTCATGCCAACTTGGAATTCTTCTGTGTACTGAGACAGGGTTGTGTGTGGCCTGTCCCCACACTGTCAGGCTTCTTCTGAGAATGCCATCCTCTCCAGGAAGCCAGCCCAGGCTGGGAGGAAGCACCAGGTGTCGGGAGCCCTGCCCTGCCTCCCCCACCTCCCTGAGCTCCCCAAGCCTCTCTGCGTGCATGCTCACACCCCAGCCCAGCTGAGGGTGACAGTCTCTGGTCCCCTCTTCCCCCGTCATCTGTTTCCTAGCCCTTCCTTATCAGGCAGCCATGTGGGTGGGACCTGGTCTACAGGGCTGGGCCCAGGTGGAGAAGAAAAAGAGTCAGTGGCAGGTCTACGTCCACACTTCCACCGCAGTGTCAACACCAGGGCTGAGATGGGGGCTGAGATGCCACACTGGATTCTCAGGCAGGCCTTCTGAGGGGGGCGGCAGGGACCAAGTGCTCGTCACCCAGCCACTGCCTGGCAGCTGCTGTCATCAGGATTCCAACTTGGAAGTAAATCCCTCAGGGTGGCAGTCAGCCTGTCCCTGGGGCCGAGCCTGGCTGATGCCACACTCCAGTCCTTGCCTCTGTTACCACATAGAGGAGTTAGGAGCAGGTGGTGGAGCTCTCCAGGGTAGCAGCCTGGTCAGAAGCTAAGGGCTCCTGCCACCACAGAGCCCCAGTCCAGCATGACACAGGCGTCCTTTTATCCCCTGGAGAAATCAAGACCCCTGTATTTGGAAGAACCTATGGCTTGGCAGCTCCCAGAGAAAGGCAGTCTAAAGCCTGGCCTTCCTTCCCCAGATGAAGTAGTTTTCAAATTTGATCAGAATCGTGTGTGAATCCTGAACGTGGCCTACGACACCCTCGCTGTCATGGTCCATGGAAACGGTCCCACTAAGGTGCTCCCAGTGGCTCCCTCCTCTGTCCTTCCTCAACCACAAGACACCTGCAACCCTTCTGAGAAGGTGGCCCTCCCCAGCCCCCACAGCAGATGAACTGGGAGAGGCTCCCGCTCCCCTTGCTGCTCTGTCCCCACCTGTCCCCTGACCCCTCACCGCTGAGCCTCTACAGCTAGGCAGGTCTCTCCCCAGCAGCCCCAGCTGAACTACCTGGGAAACTATGTCCCCAATGGCTGGACTCCTCAGGGAGGCTGTGGGTTCTGCAATCGGGAGAGGACACTCCTGGGGGGCAGGTGAGGGGCTGCCAGGGTGGGGCATGAGGTCACTGGAGGCAGTTGCAGACAGAGCACACTGGGCAGGGGCGGGGGCAGAGCTCATCAGTCCCTCGGGCCTGGTGGGGTGTTGGTGGCAGAGGGAAGGCTGAGGCTCTCCTCTGAGCCCCATCATGTTGTGTCTTCCAGCCTCCCCCCCGGGTGCTTCTGGCTGTGTTTGTGGAACAACCTACCCCGTTTCTGCCCCATTTCCTGCATCAGCTGCTGCTCCTGGACTATCCCCCTGACCGGGTCACCCTTTTCCTACACAACAACGTGAGACACCCTCCCCTGTGGACCCTCCCATGGGACACTGTCCCTGTCCTGATCAGAATTCCTGCCCCTGATCCCAAACTCCTTCCCTCACACTTCACCCATCCACATCCCTCTGGTGCCAATTTCTGCCATCTGCCCCATGCCCAGGAGGTGTTCCACGACCCCACATCCCAGACTCCTGGCCACAGCTCCAGGACCACTTCTCAGCTGGGAAGCTGGTGGGACCAGAGGAGGCCCTGACCCAGGTGAGCCCAAGGACATGGTCATTTGAGTGGATGCTTGGCAGGGAGGTGACAGGGAGGAGGGTGGACTAGATGGACTGCCATCCACTGCATGGTCCTTCCCTCACCTGTCGTCCCGCCGGCCCCTCATGGGCCTCTGCAGTCTCACTCTCGCACCCCATGTGACTGTCCCTCCCTTGCCACTAGCAGAGGACCCGGGGATGGGGGCTTTCCTTTCATCCTACAGCCCCTCCCCCCGTCTTCTGCCCCTGGCAGCTTCTCTCTGTGGAACTGTCACCTCCAGGGACAGTTGTCAGCAGGACCTCAAGTGTGAGTTCTACTTCAGCCTGGACGCTGATGCCGTCCTCTCCAACCCGCAGACCCTGCCCAGCCTCATGGAGGAGAACAGGTTCCTTGTCCCCCTAAGCCAGGGAGCCCCCGTAGTCCCCAGGACCCCACTCCTAAGGGTGCCTGGGACTCCCTGAGGCGTCCACCGCTCTGCCCGGCCCTCACGCCCACCTGTCCACAGGAAGGTGATAGCGCCCATGCTGTCACGCCATGGCAAGCTCTGGTCCAACTTCTGGGCAGCGCTGAGCCGGAATGAGTACTACGCGCGCTCCAAGGACTACGTGGAGCTGGTGCAGAGGAAGCGAGTGTGAGTCCTGCCCGGCCGGCAGCCACCCCTCACCCACCCCTGCTGAGCTGGGACCTACGCAGTCCCCACCCCCTTGCTCACAAGTGTCCAGGCCACTCACCGGTCAGATGTCCCTCGGCTTGGGGTGGTCGTGACCAGTCATGCCTGACGGGATGTGAGGGGACCTTGAGGCTCAGAGACTGTGATATCTGGAGGGAAGGACTTCCTGGGAGGAACTGGGCAGAAACTGGGGGCAGCCCACCTCACTGACCTGGCGTTGGTGCCTCCAGGAGCGTGTGCAACGTGCCCTACATGTCCCAGGCGTACATGATCCGAGGGGAGACCCTGCGGGAGGAGCTGCCCCAGAGGGAGGTGTTCTCAGGCAGCGACACTGACCCGGACACGGCCTTCTGTAAGAGCCTGCGGGACAAAGTGAGTGGCGGTCAGGCCTGGGTGCAGTGCCTGGGGGCCAGGTGCTGGGATACAAGGGGCAGCCGCCGGGGATCCCCGATCACCCCCACCCTCCCACCCCAGGGCTTCTTCCTCCACCTCAGCAATCCGCAGGAATTCGGCCGGCTCCTGGCCACCTCCTGGTACGACACAGACCACCTTCACCCTGACCTCTGGCAGATCTTCGACAACCCCCTTGTGAGTCAAGCCTCACTGAAAGCCAGCATGTCCCTCACCCTCCACCCAACACTGCCTGGGCTGGGAGTGAAGGGACACCTGTCTGACATGCTCCGCCCCCTGCAGGACTGGAAGGAACAGTACATCCATGAGAACTACAGCCAGGCCCTGGAAGGACAGGAGATTGTGGAGCAGGTGAGCCAGCTCAGTTTCCCGACTAAACCATGGCCAGGGCCTCTGTGCCCACTCCCCACCCACCACCTAGATTAGCAATTTTTGCCCTGAGCTCCCTGATCAGGCAAGCTGGAGGCAGAGCTGAGCAGGTAGGGCTCCAGCCCCACCTTTGGCATTTGACAGAGGGACTCCTCTTGCCCCTGTGGCTGCAATCATATCTTTAATTAGGGATGTGTTCATGTAAAGAAGTTTGGAAACCACAGTCCCTGCACCCAGGTCTCTGGGACCCTCCTGCCACCTGTGCTGTGCCACCCTTGGCCTAGCCGGTCCCCAGCTGCATTCATCCCACCTTCCCTCCTCCTGCTAGCTCTGTCTCTCATCCGTGTGCCTCCTGTCCCCTTCCCCTGTTCAGCAGCATCACCCCAGCCCTGTTCTTCCCTGCCCCGTCCTCAGCCATGCCCAGACGTGTACTGGTTCCCGCTGCTGTCAGACCAGATGTGCGACGAGCTGGTGGAGGAAATGGAGCAGTACGGCCAGTGGTCAGGAGGCCGGCACGAGGTGGGGGCTGTGCAGAGGGGGAGAGGGGCCCCCAGGAGAAGGGAATGCATGGTCTGGTCCAGGAGGAAGGGAGTCAGGAGAGTGGGAGCAGACAGGGTCCCCAAAGTGGGAACAGCCCCTGGTGGTACAACTGCAGTCATTCATTGAAGAAATATTTACTTGGCCACTGTCCTAGATGGAGCCGTGCAGTGAGGACTTGTGCCAGTCGGGCTCTGCCCTCTCACAGACAGCAGCGGCCGCCCCGCGTCTAAGGCTGTGATGGGCAGCCCAGGTGCTGTGGGAGCCGCAGGGCGGCCTTGGCCTAGACTTGTGATGACCAGGGGGTCAAACAAGGTGACAACTTAGCCGAGACTTGAAGGGCCAGTAGCAGTTAGTGAAGCTGAGAAGGAGCAGAGAAGACTACTGCAGATGGAGGGAGCACAGGTTTTCAAGCCTCAGAGTGAGAAGGGGGGGAATCCGGCAGTGCTACTAGGGAGGTCACACCCCGAGAGTGTGGGGTGGCTCAGTGCCCACTGGACACAGGATTCCAGGCTGGCTGGAGGCTACGAGAACGTGCCCACCGTGGACATCCACATGAAGCAAGTGGGCTACGAGGACCAGTGGCTGCAGCTGCTGCGGACGTACGTGGGGCCCATGACCGAGAGCCTGTTCCCGGGCTACCACACCAAGGTGGGCCGCCCACCTGCCGCCCCTGCCTGCACAACCCGCCGCACCCAGTCCCGGGCTGGAATCCCCCACAGAGCTCTTTCAGCCCAGTAGGGTCTGGGGCCCTTGTATCTCCATGGCATCCGGTCCCCAGCCATGACACTGCACAGGGGCCTGGGGAGGGGAGCAGCCAGGCTGAGACCCCGTTAGCCATGAGGCCCTTCCAAGGCTTCCCGTCGGGAGCCCCGACGTCCCCCCAGAGCCCCTGTCCGCTCCCCACAGATGCCTCCCTGCCTGTGGCCCAGCCTTTTCCTATTTCCCAGGTATTTGGGGGGTGTCACCTCCTGAATCCCTTCCTCTGAGTTTCCCCGGCCCACACCTGCCCTCCCCCCTTGCCTGGCTGCCCCTCCCCCTCCTACCTGTGCACTCCCCAGGCCCCTCGTCTGCCTACCCCGTTTGTCCCCTTCTCTTCCCAGGGAGGTGGCTGCCGCTTCCTGCGCTATGACTGCGTGGTCTCCTCCCCGAGGAAGGGCTGGGGCCTCCTGCACCCTGGCCGCCTCACCCACTACCACGAGGGGCTGCCCACGACACGGGGCACTCGCTATATCATGGTGTCCTTTGTCGACCCCTGACACTCAACCACTGCCAAACCTTCCCTGCCATTGTGCCTTCGTATGGGGTATGTGACCCCAATCTGGGAGAGGGGGTGTGTCCATCTCCTCACTTCCTGAGTGTATGTTCTCTTTGCCTGGAACTGAATGTGTCACCATAGCTCCCAGCACACAGCCCTCTCAGGAAGCTCCCTCCCCCCCCCTCCCCTCAGCCCCCATGAGTTCAGGAGGACAGGGCTTCTGGGGGTTCCCCATGTGATAAATTATTAAGGTTCCTCAGTCTCCCTTCTAACAAAGGAGGATTGTTGAATCTGGAGTCCATTTGTCATCTTTCCTCTCCTACCGACTCATCTCCCCTCCTGCCAGCCAGAGTAGGGGACCCTGATAAGGGGAGAGAAGAGGAAAAGGGAAGAGAAGGAAGTTCCCCCATGGGGGAATCTAGAAGCTTCCTTCCTCTAACTTGACCCAGGTGGGGAAACGGGAGGAGGACAGACCATTCCAGGCAAGGTTCAGATGAAACACCACCCCCTGCCCGGCCCGAAGGCTTCTCACTGGTCCTTTCATCCCATGATAGCGTGATTTTTCCTGGTTGAAGGGGGAGGTGGCACATGCCTGGGCTGGGATCCAGGGACAGTCTAGAAGAAGGAAGTCCCCCTGGAAGCAAGTATTCTAATGAGGGGGCCTGTCTGCCACCTAAGCTGCTGGTGGGGTGGGCTCAGGAAGGGTCCCACAACAGGTGTCATCCTCAGGAAGCTTCCTAGATGGTGGGAGTGACAAGCAGCCTGGAGGAGGAAGGGACAGACCTCCTTAGAGCAGGTGTTGCGAGGCAGCAAGTCTTGTCACCCTGCCCTGGTCTCCCCCAGCCTCACACTGAACACTGAATTCATCTCTCAGCTGTTCCCAGGCATCTCGCCATCCACTGCTAGAGTCCCCTTCTCCCTCCCTGCCGCCCAGCCTCCAGGGCCAGCCTCCTCTGGGGAGCCCGTCCGAGTGGATGCAGCGTCTTTCTGGCCAGACTGAAATCCATCCCTCACTGCCTTTGTCACCTACCCTGTGGATGGCAGTTGCTAAGCAGGGACAGGAGAAAACTCCTCTTGGCAAAGTGTCCTCCCTCAGACGCCTGAGCTGCCCCACAGGCTTGGACCTCAGAGGCCAGGCCCCAGACTGAGGGGTTTTCAAGCTGTTCTCCCTTGTGTGGGGAGCGCTGCCCTTCGTGGTGTTCCTGCTCCCTGGGGCCTCTTCCCGCTGTCCCAGACCTCCATTCGCCTGCCCCTCAGGAGGCCCAGGGCCCTGACCTCCACAAAGTTCAAACGCCTTCCCTCAGGCTCCGGGCCACACCCCTGGTTTCGGCCCATTGGTCCTAGCCCTGTGGACTCAGGTTGCCATGAACCCATCCTTCCCCAGCTCCCATGGCTCCAGTGTGCAGGCAGCAAAGGAAGTGGGAATGGGGGTGGTGCCAGGGACAAGGGTCAGGGCCAGTGGAGGTGGGCCAATGGGGGGTTACTTGAAAGCTGAAGGTGGCCCCTGTGTGACTGCCACACAGTATGATGGCCTCCACCAGCCTCCTCCTCCAGGTTCTGCCAGTGCTCGCTGTGCTGCAACGTGCCTTCTCCTTCTTGGGGCTTGGTGAGTCCCCAATCCTGAGGATCCGGGTGGGCCCCAGCACCTGGCAGCACCTGGTGCTCTGCTTCCACATTGCCCCAAGAGAGGAGGTGTTGGGATGTCTGAGGTCCTTGAAGGAATCTGGGGAGGAGGTGGGATGGAAGAACCCATGTGCCATGGAAGTAGGGAAGGGGGAGAGGGGGGAGGCTCGGGCTTAAACACCCAGGTTCTCAGGCCCACCCCATCTTCCAGCCCAGGTGTCCTGGCAGCCTTGCTCCTTGCATTCCTAAGCTGGAACTGGACCTGGTGGTCCCCTACCAGGTCATGCTCTACTGAGACAGGACCAACACCAGGGCTGGAGGCCACCACTCTGCCTGGGTTAGCAGCTGGGTGGTGTGGAGACATTTCCGTGACTGCTTCCCCATATTGGTGAGGGCGCAGGGCACAGGGCACAGGTTTCTGGGTGGCGCTGGGGCTTCAGAATAGACTCGGGCTCCTCATCAATGTCACGGGTGGGTTGGGGTGCCTGCCCTCTGCTCCCCAGATGGTCGAAATCGCAGAGCTGGATCCCTCCCAGAACTACCTCTTCGGCCTCCACCCTCACGGGGTCTTGTGCTTGGGGCCTTCAGCAGCTTCTGCACAGAAGCCACAGGCTTCTCCCGCCTCTTCCAGGGTGTGCGGCCGCTCCTGCTCATGCTGCCCTGTTGGTCCACCTTCCTCTCTTCTTGGACTATATCATGTCAAGTGCAGGAGGGATCGCCCCTGCTGTCCCCTCCTGCCAAAGCCACACGCTCCTCTTGTGTGGGGGCTCCTGGGCCCAGCTCTAACTTACCAGTGTCCCCCACCCCCATCCCTATCTTCTCTGGACGACCCAGGCATTGTGTCCCCCAGCCTCTGCCCTCTCCCCAGGTTTGGTCTCCTCTGAAAATCGAGGGTTGTCTATCTGCTGTCCCTGCCTGGGGGTAGCCTGGCAGTGGTTCTGGCCATGGAAGGGCCCCTGGAGGCACTGGAGGCAAAACCCCGAGCGCTGAGCTTGCAGAACTGGAATAAGAAGGGGTTCGTGAAGCTGGCACTGGAACAGGGGTGAGGTGCTGGCAGGGTGGAGAAGGAGCGGGGCGCCTGGGGCCAGAAGTCAGCTGAGCCTGCTCCCACATGGCCTCCCTGCTGCCTGTCTTCTCTTTCGGAGAGAACAAGCTCTTCCAGCAGTTCCCAAACCCGGAGAGCTCCTGGTTGCCAAGGCCGCAAAAAACACAGCAGCCGCCACTGAGCGTGGCGCTGCCTCTGTTCCATGGCCACTGGGGGCTGCAGCTGACCTTCCACTCACCTGTCCACACTGTTGCGAGCCTGGCGCGCCCCGCCCCCGACCCACGCCACCCTGTGAACGGCTGTCTGCAGCGATCTCCACCGGTGCACAGAGGAGGCCAGAGGCCAGCCCCGCCCCTGTTCCACCCGATGTGGGGGCCCCAATTCCTGTGTGGCAAAGCCCAAGCCCAGCCGGGCGCAAGTGGACGCGCTGGACAGGCTCTCCGTGGAGCAGGTCACTAGGCTGTTCGAGGAGCACAAGCGGTACTATGGGGACAAGCACCACTGCCACCGCACCCTTCCCCCACCCTGTCCCCTCTGTGCCTGCGGGTAAGTGCGATTAAAGGTGGGAAACTGACCAGAGGTGTTCGTGGGTTTGTGCACAGCAGAGGCGGCTGCGGTGCCCTGTGAGGCCAGGAGATACAAGGCTGGGACTGTAGCTCCCAGGTGGCTTTGTCACTCCCAGAGACATGCAAACCAGTTGGGCACACGCTAGACACATTGCAGATGCAACAGTCTCAGCTGAACTCCTGGCCCTGCACCGCCTGGAACCCCGTGGACAGGCTGGCTAGCTGCCTTCTGTTCACCCCCTGGGGTACTCCTTGCAACACTCCTTCGCCCCCTCCCAGTCCCGCCCATGGCCAACCCAGACCTATTTACTGACTGAGCAAGTTCAAAGACCAGTATGAGAAGGAGCCTGGAGATATCTAGGGCTCCAGATCCTGATATACCCCGACATTCACCCCAACACAAGCGTTCTGCAGGAAGATCTGCAACCCTGCCAGGCACCAAGCGCTGCCCTCTCTGGCCACAAAACTTCCCAGGCTCTCCCCCAGACCTTCACCTTCCTCCTCTGCTCTCAGAAGTCCTGCTGGCAGCGGGGAAGTACTGAAATGGAAGTGTCTGCAGCCTCGCCACCCTCTGTTACCTGGAAAAGCCGATGGAAGCAGTATCGAGAAACGATGGCTGCCTACCAATTGGTGTTGACTTTCCTCTTCATGAGTGAGAGGGGGAGAGACGTGGGTGCCTTGGGTCTGCCAGGGGAGAAGGGTCCAGAGGGAGGAAGGCTGGGCAGATGGGCAGCTGGGCTGGATGACTGAGGGCCAAGAGACCACCCAGAGAGGGCGACGGGATGGTAGGATGTCCAATGGGAGTGGAAGGGAGGGGACTGGCTGGGTGCAATGACTGTTTCAGAAACAAATTCATTCTTATCTCTTCTTTCACCCAGGCACTTTCTTTTCTCTACTCCTCATCTTCCTCCTCTTCACTTCACTCTGGTCAATCTCTGTTCTCTACCTGGTGTGGCTCTACCTGGACTGGGACACACCTAACCAAGGTGAGCTGTGGACAGGGGCCCAGGCAATGAGAAATGGTGGCTGGGGGGAGGCAGTTACCTCCAGGGATTCTGGCGCCCTCTCTCTTTGCCCACAGGTGGAAGGCGTCATGACTGGATGAGGAATTTCACACTGTGGAAGGACCTGAGGGATTATTATCCTATCAAGGTGATGGGTCCTTTGACTGCCTCCGCCCTCCCCCACCTCCCACACTGCTCTCCCCCTTCCATGTGCTGGACGGAGCCTGAGCACATAAGCTGGGGCAGTGCCCCAGGGCTGGATGGCCTCCAGGAGAGGACTGACCATTGATCCCATCCCAGGACCTTGAACTCTGAAGTCTGTTGGGGGGCAGGGCAACTCTTTTCAGCTGGTGTCTTCCCTTCTCTGCCTCCCCCGCTCATCCTGCCCAACACCCTGAAGCTGGTGAAAACAGCAGAGCTGCCCCCCAACCAGAACTACGTGGTGGGCAGTCACCCACATGGGGTCATGTGCACCGGAGTTTTCTGTAATCTCTCCACGGAGAGTAATGGCTTCTCCAAGCATTTCCCAGGGATTCAGACCTGTCTAACTGGACTGAGTGGCCTCTTCTGCCTCCCAGTCTACCGAGACTACGCGATGTGCTATGGTGAGCCTCTAGCTGAGTGGGGCGATTGCTCCCCACACACTGGGACATCCCTCGCCTCTCCCCTCCCGAGTGCAGGGACCTGGCCTGAACATCGGCCAGGCTCCCAGCAGGCATCAGTGAGTGGCTTCACTGTTGGGCTCTGACATGGGGATTGGGTGCAGGTTTGGAAGGAACAGGATGGAGGGTTCACCTGTCCTATACTAAGGGTGAGGGGCCAAGGGCCTGTGGAAGGTCTGCTGACTGCTTCCCACCTACCCCTGCCTACAGGAATGCGTCCTGTGAACCGCCAGAGCCTTGACTTTGTCCTGTCCCAGCCCCAGCGTGGACAGGCCGTGGTCATTATGATAGGGGGTGCCCACGAGATGCTATATGCGAGCCCAGGGCAGCACTGCCTCACGCTCCGGAAACGCAAAGGCTTTGTGCGCCTGGCGCTGAGGCACGGGTGAGTGCGCATGGAGGGCCTGCTGGCTGTGACTCCACAGCTCCCCTGGGCTGTCCACTCTCTGTGGGTCTACACTCCCTCTCAGTCCCTAGACATCTGGGGCCCTGGAGAGGGGACTGTGTCCCCAGAGCCAAGCACTGTGTCCTAGACCTGGAGGCTCATGGCAGCCCTGGGCATCTTGCTCTGAGCCAAGCCCTGTGCCTCGTTGCCCGGGCTCCCTCCCACCCCCAGTGACGCAGAGGCAGGGGCGTCAAGCCAATGGCAGGTCCTTGGGCTCAAAGCCCTGCATGCTCTTTCTGACCTGATCTCAGAGGCAAGACCTTGGACTTGTCTCTACCTGTGAAGAGGGGTAATATGGACTAGCCATCGTGTTGTAGTTATAACAACTGACTGAGAAAGTGAGTATGTGAAGGCCAGCTACACAATCATTTCTCAAGAAATGTGAGTCTCTTCTTCTAGGTCAGGCATCCTCAAAATACAGCCCTCGGGCCACATAGGGGCCGCCTAGCACATTTATCCGGCCCTCGAGGTGTTTTTGTCACAACTGCCTTTCCAGCTTAACAGCCAACTCGTCCTGAGCTGACAGTGCACAATCTCCAACAGTCTGAGGGACAGAGAACTGGCCCCCTGTTTAAAAACTTTGAGGACCCCTGTTCTAGATCTTTCTTTGTAGGTGCAGTCATGTGCTTTGAAAGGCCCTGGGAAATGGCCTCATGAGGCCTGGGGAGGGACTTGCAGCCCCCATGATGCTCTTGGAGGGGCGGTCCAGAGGCCTGAGCACCTCTCTTCTCTCTCGCCACCCTTCCCAGGGCCTCGCTGGTACCCATATACTCCTTTGGGGAGAATGATATCTTCAGAATCAAGGCTTTTCCTGAGGACTCCTGGCAGTTTCAGTGCCAGATGCTCTTTAAGAAGCTCCTGGGTTTTCCACCTTTCATCTTCTGGGGCCGCAGTCTGTTCTTGGCCAACTCCTGGGGGCTGCTGCCCTTTGCTGTGCCCATAACCACCGTGGGTGAGTGCCACCCGTGGGGGGGGCCACCAGCCGCTCTGTGGACAGCGGGGGCCCCTCGCTCACCTGTGTCTCCCTCTGTCTGCAGTGGGCCGCCCCATCCCTGTGCCCCGGCGCCTCCACCCCACCACGGACGAAGTTGACCACTATCACGCCGTCTACATGAAGGCTCTGGAGCAGCTGTTTGAGGAGCACAAGGAAAGCTGTGGCGTCCCTGCTTCTACCCACCTCACTTTCCTCTAGGCCTGGTCTCAGCTGCTCGCTGAGCCCCCA